TGGAGGTGGGGGCAAATGCATTCTCGCGACTCAGCCCATCGGGTAAAAGTCCGAATTTTCCTGGGCTGTGGATATCTTAGCTGCTAAAATTATGAAACTGGACTTTTGATCCCTCTTATCTTTTTTCGCCACGTGCAAGACTGCAAGTGCTCGAGCCCCCAACCCTCCCAACCATAGCGCTCTACTAGCCTAGCACAGCTCTAAGCTCCACGGCTGATTGGTAACATTTAGCTTAAGTTAAACCTTGAAAGTTAAATATACTGCACGTCCCCCAACCCATTTTTGTCCAACCTCTGCTGCCAAACCATGTCCTTCTTGTCCTTGCTTGCTTCTCAGTCTTGCTGTAGAACCAAAGACTCGGGTCGCTCTACCTAGCGAGCGTCTCAATGGATACCAACACTTCTATTGTAATTTTCTGCCTTTTCCTCTCTTTTCTTCTTGTCGTGACTAATTTCTTTAGGGTATTCAAGCAGTGCTGCTCATCTTAGCATTAGTGGTACTGGTCCTACGATGCTGGGCGAACTTTTTAATGAAGCAGGCTTTATTTAGCCTGCCTGATATTCTTGCATGGCTAGGTTGGGTCTTCAGCCTAGGATGGTTTATCTGCTCGACTCTTGCACTTCGAATTCTCATCGATAATCCCGCTGTTGGCTCTGAACTTGTAGTTAATTCAGTAGAATATTTGAAGGTATGATATTGCATGGCCACGTGAAAGAGAGTTGTAAAGCTGACTGAGTGCAGATAGTATTAGTCGCAGAGTACTTCTTCGATACTGGGATTTATTTCCCCAAGATATCCATTATCTTGTTTTATTGGAAACTAATCCCTGGGATCTCAGGATCCCTTCGACGCGTATTGCTTGTAATCACGATTTATCTTGGTTGCGCTTTACTCGTATCAGTACTTGTAAACACTCTTATCTGTTTACCGTTTTCTGACAATTGGTAAAGTCAAATGGCATAACTTGTCTCATCATCTGACTAACAGATATCAGGTCTATCGAAAATCAGCTCAAGTCAGCATGGAACTCATATGCTTCTTTTTGTGTTCAATGGGGTCTCAATTTCTCAACGGATTTATTAAGTATGTCCAATGCCTGCTACTCGCTGGGAGCAATTCAGCTAACGTGACCGCCAATAGTCTTTTTCTACCCCTTCTTTCTGCTCAAACATCTAAAACTCCACCGAAAACAAAAGATCGCCCTTATTGGCATTTTCTCTCTAGGTGCTATCACGTTGATAGTCAGCCTGTCCCGATTTATTGCCTATAATGCCACAGATTTTGAGCTTGATGACCAGTCTGGCAGTATGTCTTTCTAAATCCTTGCTATATAATGTTCTTCGGCTAACCCAGTATACAGATACCTTATCTCTCGCCGAGATGAGTACCGCTGTTATAGTCGTGTGCCTCCCTGGCCTTCGAAGATTTATTATGCGATCGAAAACATCTACAAATCGCTCTTCGTCGAACCAACCCAGTGGCTATGGTGTTCACACAAAGATCACAGGAAGAGGCCAGAATGCCGAGACCCCTGTGTCGCAGTACGCTAAATGGGGCGTGAGAGATGATGAGATCGAGCTGGTCACTCACATTCGCGTTTCCCATGAGCGAATAAGTCCAGATGATACTCGCAGCGCGAGCGGACAAAGTGCAGTCAGTAATACTTTCAAGGTATAATTTTCCGGATATTAGATTTAGGCGTTGGAGGAAATGTAATGTGTATGACAAGCGAGGCGCCAAAAGCCCTCATTATGTATATAATTAGACTTTATTTGATGATGCACGCAGCACAGCTCAGTGTCATGCCAAGCCGAAGGGTAGGTATGATCCTTGTCCTACGTTTATCTTTGAAGTTGGCATTCAGGAATTGGTATCGTGGGTACTTTTACGATAAGTTCTCAATGGCAACCGCTGTGAATCATGATTCGGCTACATTGCACACGCTCATATCAAAGCGCAACACGCAATTCTCGACAAATTGTCTCGGATTATGAAGACAGCATAGAAATACCAGATCTGGACTCAGACTCAATCATGTCCTCGCTCGCCACATCATCAGAGGACATGTAACGATGCACGCGACCAAGCTATTGTCGATTCAGTATGCTGATCCATCCTCCCCTCGATATTTCGCAAGTTTAACTATAAAAGCATAAGCCTTATTAAAAGGCCGTTATCCAATAACTAGGAACAGCGCATCTATCTCGCTTGACAAGAACTCACCACTTCACCCAAGGTGAGCCCAACTAAGGTTTCCTACCCCAAACAAAATAGACAGGGAGATAAAGATGAATACCCGGGTCTCTCAGCTCATTCTTAACCTGTGCCATCAACACCTGGATCTCTTCTGCACTCCAGCCAAGCGCATACTCAAACAGTTTAGGCGTGTACGAGTCGATGACCTTTGACTCTTGGATAGCTTGATACCGGCCAAGTTCCTTGAGCTTTGGATCCTTCGGCCAAGGCCCGATAGGCAACTATACTCAATATTCAGGAAAACAGGACAACAACCAGATGACAGGCTACATACCTTTCGGACTTCTTGCTGAACATCCACAAACCCTGCCTTGATCAACCTGTCCTTCCATTTGTCCGCACAGTCAGCCGGCTTGCCAAATTTGGCGCAAGCTTCGATTAGGTGTTTCATCCACGATTTGGCACTGGTCGCCTTGTCGAGCGTTCCGTCATCGGACTCAAAACGTGCGTCTACGCCTTGTAGTTCGATATAACCGTTTGAGCGTATATGTCTGAAAGCACGCTGTAGCATAAGATCCTCGTCACCTACACATGCTTCCAGCTCGCGGGCGTGAACAAAGTCGAATTCTGAGCGGTACAGCCACTCGTCCTCGAAGTCATCTACTTCAAAGGTGCAGTTCGGTGGGTTCCTGAGTTGTTAGCACGATGATACGCGACGTGAAAAGCTCTGTCTTACCATTCTGGCTGAATAGGACTGAGATCATTGCCTACAACCTCTGCCGAAGGATGCTCACTATTGCCGAGCATGTTAGCGGGCTAATACCCTGCAGCTCATGCTTCCACTCACTCTGCGAAATCTATCGCCCAAATACCAGTTCCTGTGCCGAGGTCGAGGACGCGCTGAGGGTTCGCGCCAATCGGGGCAAGGTGAAGCTTTCCGTCAAGAAGGATACTGTATATGTGATGGACGAGATCCATACGATCTTGCTCATCTTCATCGTTGGGCTAAGATATGACTGAGTAAAGGTGTCAAGAAGTGGCGCTCTGGCACATACCACGGGATAGGTGCCTTCTCGGAATGCATGATATCGACGTCCATTCTGGCTGCTGTTAATAGTGTACCGGGGTATATTCAGTGTAGCTCACTTCGTATCTATGAAGCATGACAGAACAAGTCAGTTATGGTCATCAATAGTGACTCTTTGGCATATATCTCACCTATAATTGTATATGCTTGAATTCAGGGACGACAAAAAGCTCGAACCTCCGATCCTACCATTCTTGTCATTATACCAGAAACAGATAATCAATAGTAGCGGACTGACGTTGATTGATAAAGTGAATCATTGGCACCCAAGTCATCCTGAGGAACTGTTTAGCATGCAAAAAGGCATCATGTTTATAGCGAAGCATCAACAACTCACGTCAACTTCCAGGTGGCTCTCTGGCTGAGTGGTAGCCGTCGCGGCCGGGTCTTGAGGAGAGTTATCGGCCATAGTATGCAGTTTTGTTCCTGTGTTACGTTCAAACGATCAAAGAGAGGTCTCGAGAGTCTTGCGTTGCTGAAAATGAGGGGTCTGTAGATCATATAAGTTATTCCCGAACCCTTGATTGAGCGAATTATGCACTACGCACAGCCACGTCCTATCGGAGGCTTCCCCGCGATAATGTGGGAACACGTCACCACGTCTGATACCAACGTGAAGAAATATCCCTTGCACAACTAATCTAATGAGGCAGCTCGGCACAAAATGTGCATGTCGTCCAATCCTAAGCTCTGCATTAGTTGTCATGTGAAACTCTAAGAACTGGGGGTATGTTGCATCTCTGCCAATCAGACAGTCCCTTGACTCATCATCCCATCAGTAACTTGTGCTTCCATTGAATTGTCAAGACACGCTGATTCGTCATCCGTAGTAGTCACACGGGCTCACATGATCTTTGCATAAAGCTGCTACAAGATGTAAGATGGTCGATTTCCCATAGTGATGTATGTTATCGGCTGCACAGATTTTGCCAATTCCTTTTCCGCGCGTACTATGCACGCTTCGGTTTGCTTTCGATGCCTCTGTCTGGCATGCAACTATTTCGGGCGAAAGCAATCGAATAAAGGGTAATTGAAGTCCAGAGACAGAGGCATGAGTGGTAGTGGCCGTTCGTTTCACCGTCTCCTGTCTGGGCCGTGGTATGTCTTAGCAGAGCACAGCGGTGCACGCCAATAGCTCGTTTGATATCTTGCTTGGATAAGCAACCTGACGAGTCTCCCTGTGGCTGGATTCTGTAATAATCTTGGGGGCGCCATGTGGCCATCATCTGTAAGTGCCACTTGTTGGTTCTCGATCTGCGGGGTCTTGAAACCCAGTTTTCCGTGATGGTATGCCGATCGTTCGACTAATTGGCTGGAATGATAGCATCCTAGGTATGCTGTAGCCTACGTTGACGAACATTGTCTGCCCTCTGGTTCTGGCCGCCTTCCTCATCTTGGCCCGGTTCCTCGAGGAGCAGGACGGCCTCCACGCGTTCCTCCACCTCGTCTCTTATTCTCCGCCTCTCCGTTTCGACTGTCCTGTTGGTCCCACTGAGACTTTCTGTCCTGCTTCCAGGCTTTGAATCACTTATTCGACTCAACGACGATGGAGGTGGCGCTGACAAAAACCTCTTCCCAAATAATAGTTCAAGGAAAGGAAGCAGCATCGGGATGCAGGCGGCTATTATGACACAGTTTGTTTCGATACTACGGTCATAGGAATACGTCAATGGCAATATGTTGGATGGTAAAAGGGAGACCACAAACCTTATCCAAATCACGAGACTCCCTGAAGCATCTTGCCATGCGAGACTTTGTCAGTAAGGTTGCCTGTGTTGTACAGTCGTGCGGATTGTGCGAGCTCACAGGTATAGTCTTTGCCGTCTCCCATACCTGGCACCATCATGACTTTGCGTATAGCAGCACAGCCAGCACTAGGGAAGTTATCAGTCAATGTCAAAACTCAACGGGGGGTAGCATGCAGCGATACTAACCAAACACCAAAGCCAAGGGCCACGCTAAGGGCCAATTTCTTTTTCAGATGTAATTTTAGTGACCATAGTACTACAGCTGGGTATAGAGCAAGGTAGAAGTCCACCACGGCGGAAAATGCTGCCGTTTGTCGATTGATCATTAGTATATCGAACACCTCTCACTTCACCCTCGAGGATAAGGGCATACTTACATCCCACAATAACTGAATAGACTATTACGGCAGTCGAGCTTCGACACTTGGCAGGGGCATATAGAGTGAATTGAGCTTCTGGCGGGTCGCACTCCGAGAAACGGACCCCGAATGCACCGAGCATAAGGACAAGGTTTGCGATCGCGAGGCCCCAAAGCAACCGGACGTGCCGGGTTGATGGGAAGAGGATCTTGACGAGCAGATTGACGACAGCGAATTTGGGTAGCGCGAGCGACAGGACTCCTGGGATCAAGCCGATCATTAGGTAGAATACAGAACGATGGAATTCGTCGACGGTCAGAGTCGCCTGGTGGCGGCCACTACCGGCTAATATGGCGGCCGTCCAGCACGCTACGTAGGCGAATACGGAGCCCTATCGGGATGTCAGCAGTCGTACCTTTTCTATCGCGCGTGGTAGATAGAGTTAGGATGACAGAGAACAGAGCAGGGGACCAACAAGAGACAGGATTATAACGTAATCATCGATAGCTAAGCGACCGAGCTTTTTATATCTCGAAAAGACCCTGCCTACGACAGCGAGGCATGAAAGGGCAGTGAATGAATACATAGATACCATCATAGCAGGGCCTTTGGTCTCAGACGCGACATCAGGCGGAAGCGAATTCATTGCTGGTATTCGGGCCGCAGGAACCTTCTCTTCCGCTCCTTATACGCAGCCTCAGCCGAATGTCGACGTTATCTAAAAGGTCGTCGGGATAGTAATTCGAGAGGACCGAATTGTCGAATGACACCTTGGCAATATCCCATATCTGTTGTTTACAGGACAGTTACAATAGAAAGAATAAGTAGTAAGCATGAGCTATTTTTCAATGAATACGACCTTTAGGAGTATGATTTTAAGCAAAGTGGAATTTGATCTTACTTATAGAAGTCTAGTGTTATGTGATAAGTAGATATCACATGATATAAGCCTTATAATAGGTTGGATCTACATAAGTATTAAACTCTAATAATCTCAAGCTTTTAGTCGGCAAGTTCAATATCTTACAGCCACCTAAACAAGATATAAAAACATCTAGAGTAGACAGATATAACAACATTATGCTATAAGTAGCCTTTAGTCTTAAAAGAAAAAGTTTAATATAGTAATAAATGGATAAGGCCTTTATAGATTTCTTTATTTTTATCTTAATTTCACACTTATTTGCAATAGTAAAAGAAGAGACCAGACATACAAGCAGTTCTCAGATAGCATGTTCTAACTCGACTTATCAAGCTCGATCTGATGCATTTATATCCGTCGGTTTGTAAATAAAGAAATTAGATGCTCGTAAATCGAAGAATCAGACGAAGCTATTGACAGACCATTGATTTTCCCCTGTATTCTCCCTTGGTAGCCCCTAAACTAAGCGTATTAGCGTGTAACTGAGGTCGATAGTTCACGGATGACATGGCGCTAGCACCAAGCCCGACGCCATAAAGACATTGCAGCGCCCGTTTGCGTATTGCCTCTGGATTCAGCTTCTTTCTTTTGTATCTCAATTCCAACTTTAGTCTTTCGCTACTAGCTATGTATACTCGTGCATTCTTGTCGCTGGCCATTGGCCTCATTGGTGCGGCTGCCAGCCCATGCAAGCCGCTGACGTCGGGTATGGTTGTATCATGAATCTGATAAGGGATCCGCTAATCAAGAGTTGTACAGGTTCGGCACTTTCTTCTGCCACTTTGACATCGAGTGTGGCTGAACCTACTGTGTCTAGCTCTGTTGAATCTATTGTCGCTGAGACCTCAACTTCAGCCGAGTCTTTGGTAACTGACACTGCGACTTCAACCGCTACGGACTCAACCACCATTGATTTGTCAACCACTCTCGCTTTGACCACTACGTCCGCCGATTCAACAACACTATTCACAAGCGAAACCTCGGCAGCTACAACTGAATTCTCCTCCACTGAGACTACAGCCGATACCACCACCGCCGACGCAACAACCACTACATCCGACGCCCCGCCCGTAATCACCACCTTCGCCATCATCGCCGGCTCCGGCCCCGCCGCCAACCGCAACCTCAGATCAGACAACTCCTTCGGCACCCCCATTTACTTCGGCTCAGGCGTCACTCTCCCCGCGCAGCACTACAACATCGATGCCGCCACCGGCCAGATCAAATCTGGCAGCAAGTCCATCTGCGCATGGTTCAACAACAGCGATATGACCAAGGCTTACATCACTGCATGCACCAGCGACAATGAGGATGTCAGCAAGGGCGTAGTTCATCTTACCTGTCAGGCCGGTACTGAGGGATCTGCCCTCCAGTGCAGCGTTCCGGTACTGAGCTGTGTGCAGCAAGGTCGTGGAGTTCAGACATGCTCTGCGACGTCGGGCACGTTGAGTCACTTTAGCATGGAGGGTGATGTTGGAATGGTGTATATTGTTGGTGATGGATTCACGGGTATTAATCAGACGCCAGTTGATCTGGTTGTTGACCAGGCTGCGGTTGCTGCTCCGACACCTTGAGCAGCAGATAGAAAATAGAGGAGATCTATGGGACTTTTGTTTCTTCTCTGGTTATTTGGATTCGATGTAGATACTTTTACAACATTGACAGAAAGCAAGATATGCTTCGAGAAGACTCGGAATAGTGAGGGCTTTGGAACAAAAGCGGCATGTTTCTGAGCAACTATAATTATTCTTTCGACCACTAAATATACCTATTCTACGTCGTGTAAAGATAAGTAATATTTTGTAACAGAAAGGTTTTAGCTCCCAATCTTTTCTTTTTGGAATTACCAGCTAAATAGTCTTAGCTGTCCACACCCATTGAGGAAAGACAGAAGCTCTGTTGGGGAACGGCATCTTGATAATTGCTGGTGTTCTAGACATCATGCAAATATAGGCTGGTGCAATGCTGCTTTGTTGGACCCTTTCGGTCGTTTGCCACGGTTGAATTGACTTTTTTAAAACAGGTTAGTAGTTATAGGGTAATTGCCGCGCGCGTCGGGCGATCCCGCTTGTGCTCCAGCTGCTGACTCACGCAGCTTATTAATAGCAACAGTCACGCAACCAGCAGTCGCCTTTAAATCCCCCGCATCCAGCCCCCTAAGAGACATTGCTTCGCAGTAACATCGTTTAAACCTTAATCGACTACTAGGTTTGCATCAATTCAAACTCTTGTCCTCTTATCTTGATCAGTTAATCAGCACAGCCATGGGCGACGTTTCAGTCTTCAAATATCCCTCTCCCTTAACTGGGTACGAGAATGCCCCACCACTACCAGAGGAGAAGGCAGCAGACGGGAAGAGTTATGTAAATCCTCAGTCAGGGAAGCTCAGCGAAGCATACGAAAAGTTCATTGATCCTTTGGACAATGGCAGACAAGGTGGCTTGTAAGTCAGATCGATCCTTGGACTGCACGTGATAAGCTGACAGATACCAGTGACATTCATATCTACTACCTCCAAACCAACGAAACGCAGACCAAGTACGCCAAGGAACTGTGGGAACGCATCCGAAGAGAGTGTGAGTCGATGCGCCATAATCAAATGAATTGCTTCGGCCGTAGCTAACGCGAGCAACTTTAGTTCCCGAGCTCCGAATCTACAAATTTTGGGAGGGGCCAATTGGACCTCATCCGATTGCCATGTTTGAAGTCAATGTCTTCACACCCGCTCAGTTTGGGGCGTTCGTCGCGTGGCTTGCTATTTGGAGAGGGCCCCTATCAGCTCTTGTTCACCCTAATGTTATTCCCGAAAAGGGCGTGAATCGTTGGGCCTCGATGAAGAGGGATCATTTGGAGAGGGCGATCTGGATGGGCGAAAGAATTCCATTGGATCTTAGTGGTTTCAACAGAGAGGATTAGATGCATAATCTATACAACAAATGATTTATATTTCAACAAACATGCTTGAGTTTGCAGCAGTGTAAGAACAAAATCAATTATGTGAATTATTATGTCATTGGAGCTCGACCATTGCTTGCGAGAAGCGCTCCACCACCACTTGCAAACCATACATAATCTCCAAGCCTAAGTCTTACTTGTGCTCGCCCTCGCCATTGCAGAAAGGAATGGGATAAGTTTCGCTGCTGCAGAGACGAATAATACCCTTAACCCACTCAAGGTCCCCATAATTCTGACTCTCATAAGAATCCGACGTAAACTCCGTCTTCTCAATATCATCACCGCACCCATCAAGAACATTTCCCTGAACACGTCGGACATAAGGCTGGCTGACAATGAGACCGTGATGATTCTCAGGAACTTGGAACGACAGTGACTGCTGCTGGCTTGACGTCCAGGTCTCGGTGTAGTCAATGCTCAGCGAAGTAGTGAGAATGTCCTCAATGAGAGGAATGCTGAAGCTAGCGCCGACTTTAAGGGAGTTGGCGATGGTGAAACCAGAGGTGACGCTGACGGTGGCCTTGGAACCATCGAGACTGCTGATGACGGGGGACATGGGGACGTCCCAGTTGAGGAATTCTTTTTCGGAAAGGACTTGGACTTCGGTGCTTTCGCAGCCACGACGGTTGATGTTTCGCTTGGAGGGAGTCTTGGTGTTGATAGCGGGGGCAGTCTCGAGACGCTCGAGGTCAGCGGCTTTCATGATTTGGGAGGTGCCATCGGTCTTGAGAACAATGACATCGTCGGATGAAAGGATCTTGGGAGCAGCTGCGGCTTGGGTGACCGAGACAAGGCTGATCAGTGCCAGGAGCGTGGAGGGGATCATGGTGGAGGAGTTGTTGGTGTGATTAACTGCGGCTAATAACCAAGATTGCAAACGCGATAAACCAAATAAATGAGTGACTTGGTAAAGACTGTAAAGAGCGTCTTGGTGCACAAACGAATGAACGACGAAAGCTCGATGCTCCTAAAAGCTAATCTCATTAAGCTGGGGCGCATTGATCTTTTAACCCATCCATCTCCAGATATCACGGACCCAGTTCATCTCGACTCCCCTTCATGACTCAAAACGGCAATGCGTAAATTCACATATGACACAAGGATCCCATTATCAATGCACGCGAAAATGCAACTCTGGCCCAGTAGGGCAGTGCACACGCAGCGGACAACGGGTGCTCCACACGGAAAATCGTATCCCGAAGTTTCAAATCGTCGGCTGCGTCATGAACTTCTCCTATTTCTCGCACCGACAGCAAGGAAATAGAGTTTATGACTAGTTTCATCCTTATATCCATCGGAACTGCCGATACTGGGGTGTGCCTTGGAATAGAAGCGTTGAGGTTGCATGAGAAGCAGGTTTGTGGACTATTTGCCCGCGGGAATATCGTCGGTTGTTGGCGCTGATCTTTCAGAGGGTCCTTGGTATTGTTTCAGGTTGGCATAATTTTCGTGTAGATGCCGGTACTGGATATTAGTGACGTTGCATTGATGGAGAAAGCTCGGACAAACCTGTTCAGCTGAGGAGATGGACATACGATCCCTGAGATAGGGTGTTATAAGTGTCTGCACGTCCGTAGATAGTCGATGGCTTACAACCATCACCAACAGTCTTTACCAGTTTTGGCATTTCAACACTCTTTTTACTCAGTCACTCATTCATTACATCGAAACTTCTGCGATTACGAGTTAATATTCCATCTTTCTATCTGCTCAAATAA